CGCAGGGAGTCAGGCAGAGAGGTGACTGGATCCAGCCCTTGGAGGGCATTGGGTTGGGTTTGGTCTTGGACGGAGGTGTTTGCAAGGTGCAACCTCCCACTTGCTCACTGGGCTCCAGCCACACTGGCTTTCTGTGGTTCTTCAAATTAACCAAGCTCATGACCACCCCAGGGCCTTTGCACCTGCTGTTCCCATTAGTGGGCCAGCTTTTCCCACACCTCTTCACCTGGCTGCCTCTTTGTCACCTGATTAGCCCTCAATTTAAATAGCACCTCTTCAGAGGGGTCTTCCCTGAACCTAAGTTGGACCCTCTGTAATTCTCTTATTTCTACCTCCTGATTATTATCTTCATTTGCAATACATTAGTTAATTTGTTAATTTGCTCTTTTAAGCTTTTTTTTTTTTGAGACAGAGTCTCACTCTGTTGCCCGGGCTAGAGTGCTGTGGCGTCATCCTAGCTCACAGCAACCTCAAACTCCTGGGCTCAAGCAATCCTCCTGCCTCAGTCTCCCGAGCAGCTGGAACTATGGGCATGCGCCACCATGCCTGGCTAATTTTTTCTATATATTTTTAGTTGTCCAGCTAATTTCTTTCTATTTTTTTAGTAGAGACAGGGTCTCACTCTTGCTTAGGCTGGTCTTGAACTCCTGAGCTCAAACAATCCACCCGCCTTGGCCTCCCAGAGTGCCAGGATTGCAGGCGTGAGCCACCGCGCCTGACCTAAGCTATTTTTTTAAAATTAGGTTTTGCCAGTCTCTGCCTCTAGCCTGCTCAGCTGTGAGTACAGGAGCGTGGATGTCTGTTTTGTTCACTGCTCCACCCCCATTATCCAGCCAGGCCTTGGCCCAGGCAGCCCCGCACTACACATTTGCTATGTGATTCAATGAACGCATGAAGGAATGAATAAATGCATGAACAAATGCGCTGGGCTGTCCACTGTCACGCTGAACTCTTATGACTTCCCTGCGAACCAGATTCCAGGTTCCCCACATCGCAGACAAGGAAAGGGAGGCGCAGAGCAGTCCCATAAAATAGGGCAGGAATGCGTCAGATGCTGAAGGCCGTAAGACCTCCCTGCCTTCGGGACACATGAGAACCTCAGCTGCACAATCCCACGTCAACCTGACACAAGAAAGTAGCACATTTCTGCTGGATATGGCGTGGACCAGACCCCATTCTCTGCAGGGCTGTTCCATCAAAAGATGCTGATGCTGGTGTTGCCAAGGCAACACGGTTAGCTTTCTGGAGCATCTTTAAATGGAAGGAGTGAAGGCCCACACAGACACCGAGGGGAAGGAAACCTCAGAACAAGGGGTCAAATCCCCCAGCCACTAAGACAAACCATCCTGATAGTGGCCATCCCCTACCCCCTGCAAAGGGCCACTTTCTACCTCGCCCGTGGCTGTTGTCTCTGGGGTGTGCACGGTGAACTCTCTCCCCAGTGTGAAAATTGCCTTTGCTAGGAACATGCACAGGTCTCAGAAACAATGCGTTCAGCCTGGCTGGCTCCACCAGGACCTCTCAGGTGCCAGCAGGAAAGACAGACTAGTCTTGGAAGCCTTTCCAGAAAGTTCCTTCAGCTCTTGATACAGGAGGAGAGGACACCACGCCCACATTTTGTGGTAGATGCAAGATGCCTCCAGAGTGCTCTGACAGCGAGTGACAGCTCATAGATGCTAGTGTGCTTGAGTGGTGATTGGCTGTGCTGCCTTGGGTGAGGCCCTTTCCCTCTCTGAGCCCTAATTTCTTCATCAGTAAAATGGGGAGAAAACTGGTCTGATGCAGGGAGAGGTGACAGAATTTTGCATGGGAATCTGCAGATGCAGGTATCCTAGAAGCCAGTTTCTGTGAGCCGTGGGCCCAGGAGACCCAGCACGGGCCTTGTGCTGCCCAGGGTCCGCTGGCTGGTCTTGCTGTGGCCATCGAGAGTCTATGGTGAAGGGAGACAGCATCACTGTCAGAGGGAGTTTTAGAGGTTGACAGGTGCTCTGTCCTTATTGCACCGAAGGGAAACTGAGGCTCAGAGAATGCCAGGACTCTGATCCAGGGGCAGAGAGAGGCTGCGACCAGGGTCTCATATCCCTGGGCAGGACACAGCTTTGTCCCTAATAATCTGAGGCCACCTGGGGATGAGCCGGAGCCTGGGGCCAGGCCTTGGGGGCAGAGAGTCTGGGAGGGGGCAGAGATGGAGAGAAGAGAGGTGGGAGTCAGAGACGGGGAAGGAGGGGAAGTGAACACCTGTTCTTACCTGCCCAGCGTCATGACTTGAGTGGGACTGACCCCACCCCTGGTTCCAGGCATGATCATGTGACCCACGCCTGGCCAGTCAGAATCACATGATAAGGGCAGGGATGGACACAGGACCAACCCTGGCTGGAGAAAGTCATTCCTTTGCTGGAACCACCGGGACAGGGGAGCCGCCTGTATCAGGGAAGCCGAGCTGGGAGGACATGAGCCCAGGGCTGCTGGAGCCGTCTTGTCAGAAGAGACCCTCCCTGGCTGAGAACAAAGTCAATGTCGCAGATGGTAGGGCTGAGAGGTGGAGCGACATCATTTGAGCCTCTGGATCTACCCTCGCCTGCATCCACCCTTAGACTTCCCAGTTACATGAGTCAATTTACGCCTTAGGATCGAGTTTCTCTCCCTTGTGCCCGAGAGTCCTGGCACGGAGGAGGAAGGAAGGTGAGAAGGAAGGATGAATATTTAAGAACAGGTGTCTGAGTGTAACCCAAATCGGCTTCCTGGCCTTTAGAACACGGGAGTGCAGACAGAGATTCGGCCTTCAGCCCACCCAGGGGAGTCCTGTCCCTGGGCTCACGGCATTGCTCCCACCTCCTCTCCAGCACGCAGCCAGCCCGTAAGCTCCGCAGTACAAAAATAAATGCTGTGGGTACAGAAATCCACAGGGGCCCAGGAGCGGGGATGGCATGCCCTGGGGGGATGCCTTCCTCACCCCACTCACCTCTTTGAGCACAAACATTTATTAGGCACCTGTTTCATGCTGAGCTCTGTTACCAAGTTGATAAACATGGTGCATTTCCTCCTTTCCACAGCCCAGCGAGGAGGGAGTCTTACATCTTCATTTTACAGATAAGACAACTGAGGCTTTGACACTTGGCAAGACAGCTGTGGCCTTGAGAGACTGCGCCACTCGCCTAAAGACTGCCCACAGGGCCACACCGCACACAGCAGATGCTCAATAAAGGTCTACTGGGCAGATGCCGGGTAAAGCAGTTTGAGCTTGCTGGGCAGCAACCTGCCGCTAAACGCTTTCCCCATCCTGCCTGAAATGCCGCCGTTAGCAACAACATCCTCTGGGGCTTGCGGGGGGGGGGGGGGGGGGGTGCGGGGGGGGGGGGGTAGTGCTGTTTCCCTCAAAGGGGATCAAAGTCAGTCTGTGCTGGGTTTACTCGGGGTCGGCTGGGAGTGGGACGCAGGGGCTGGGGCAGAGCCACGTGGGATGAGGGTGTTCGGTTCCCACCGGCCCAGCCTCATTCTGGGGAAAACCTTCTGGAGACAGAGGTGTACCCTGGGCTAGGGCAGGTGGGGCCTGGCTGGGCCTGGGTGTTGGCCAATGACGAGCGGCTGAGAGTGACACAGTGATGGCGCGGGTGGCAGAGTGGCTGTGGACCCTTCCTGACTCCAGCCTCTGAAGGAAGCTCAGGAGGGACCCCTGGTCCCCCAAACTCAGGCAAAGCCGGGAAGCAGCATCGCTGTTGGGCGAGGTGGGGAGGAGGGGGCTCGGGGTTCCGGCTGGGAGGCGGGAGCGATCTGGACCCGGAGCCTGCTGTCCTGCCCACCAATCCCTACCCTTGAGCCTGGGCGAGCTGGGGTTACAGGGAGTCCTGAGGGCAGCCACACGGGCAGAAATCCGGCTTCGTGGGGCCAGAAGGAGCCTTGGAGGACATTAGCACATAGCACAGACAGGGACTTAGTTCTAGACCCTTCTTCAGGGATGATGTGTGTCTGTTTCAACCCAAAGCTTCCTTCCAGTTGTTTTAGAGGCCATTTGAGACTGTCACTGTGGCCCTTGTAGCCAAGAAGGTTGAGTACAGCTGGGCGTGGAGGACAGGCCCTGGGGCTCCTCATGATGGGCGAGGACCAACTTTTTCCAAGGGCATCTACAGCCTGGAGAGATGCCCTGGAACAAACAGGACTGATTTCCAAATAAGTAAATCTGAAGAAAGCTGCCCGTGATAGCCCCTGTGGGCAGTTACAAGGCAAGTGACCACATTAAAGGCTCTGACAAGTCCTGCAGGTAAGAATACCTATTCATTTTGACTTGCTGTTTCCTTTTCTAACTTGATAACAGGTACTTTTAGAGAGGAGCCTTAGTTATTCCCTGTGGAACACACTTTAGGACATGTTGGGGGTGAAGTAATAATGCCTTTTCGGTCTCCTGAAGCCCCTGAGCTCCAGACATAGGAGCATGGTGGAGTGTGGAGGGGAAATTGTGATTAATCCACCTATTGGGGGTGGAGGCAGCCCCTTCAGCCTTGAAAAGAAAGTTCAAGGACATCTCAAGTCTACGAAAGCTTGGAACAGGAGCTTGGAGTGGGAGATGGCCTTCTCACCCACCCCAGGGATAGAATCTGAGCCTCCCCCGCCACCCCTCTGGCAGCTTCCTGCCTGCAAATACCTTCCCACCTGTCTGCAATCCTACCCCTAGTCACACATTCCTTTGAGGAGCCAAGTTTGGCCTGTTCTCAGCTCATCCGGGGTATTGTGACTCTCAGGCTGGCAGGGAGGCCCTGCAGGAGGGAGGAGGGAAGAGGCGAGGGGTACCTCAGAGGCAGGGCTCCCCAAACCCCCACCATTTCACAGACTGAGCGGAACAAGGAGGCAGGTGACACTTCTGGACTGTTGGGGCAAGGAGGGTGGCTCAGGAGGCCCAGGGCATAAAGGACGAGACCCTGGCATTACGTCCTGTGCTTGGGTGCCGCTGCCCACGGGATGCCAAGGCCGGGCTCCTCCTGGGTGGTCCGGCCTCCAGGCCGCCTGCCCGTCAGACGCCCACGGGCCGCAGCATCATGCGAGTGGCACGCAGCGAGTAGCTGGGGCCCTGGAAGTAGTGCCAGCGGATGCCGTTGAGCTTGCGCACGTGGTGGCGAGCCGGGTAGTAGATGCCGTTGAGGTTCGAGAGGCCGCAGGCGTCAAACCACCACCCTGGCGGAAGAGGGAGGAAAGAGGCTGTGGGGAGTGGGGGCCTGGCCAGTGGGGTGAGGGCAGCCCCTGTACCCCAAAGAGAACAAAGACTAACCGGGGCGGCTGCCTCCTCTGGGAAGCCGGCTCACTGGAGATGCAGCCGGGTGGGCGTGGGGGAGGGTGGGGTGGGGGTGGGGTGGACAACAGACCCCTGCCTTTGGGGCCTCAGGACATGCCTCCTCTGTGACCCTGCCTTCCTCCCTCGCCTTCCCTCCCTCGGCCCGCACCCCTCCCCATCGCCCGCCCCGTATTTCTCGGGGTGTCGTCACTCTCTCTGAGGCTCGCACACACCGGGTTCGGCTCTTCCTCTCTGGTGGTCTCTGGGCTGTGTCTGTCTGTGTGTGTCTCTTCCTGACTGTTCCTCTTTCCCTGCCAGCCTCTGCCTCTTCTTTGGTCTCCGTCCTGTCTCTCTGGAGCCCTCGCTCTCACGCCGTGTCCATCCCCCGGCCTCTGCCCGGGCTGCGCTCCTCTCTCCAGCTCTCCCTGAGTCCTCCTCTGTCCCCACGCAGCTCTCTGCCAGCCTCGAGTCTCCCTCTGCCTCCATCTGTCCCTGTCTCTGTCTCAGGAGGTCTCTCCTCCTGTCTCTGTCCTTCCCACTCTGTCTCTGGCTCTCACGTACTCCCACGTCCCACGCTGTGACCTCTGTTGGCCCGTCTCCCCAGTCCTGGTCCTGCTTGGCCTGAGGGGTGGGGCGTTCTCAGGCCGGAGGTAGGGACGGATGGGTCACTGTGCCTCCACCCGCGGCCCCACCCTCAGTGTTCCTCTAGCCTGGTCTCTGAGGCAAACTGGTGGTGTCAGCTTTAGGAGGAGGTGGGACCCCGGAGGGGACCTCGAGGGCCTAGCGGGAGAAGGCGTGGATGGAGCATTGACCCGCACCCACCTCCAGACAGCATCTGGGCGCATTTGCAGAGGCAGTTGTCGTTGTCCGCGTCACGGGTGCTGAAGTTGGTGCCCTGCAGGACCAGGCTGCTCTGGCGCCCTGCCGAGCCGCTGTACCCACTCAGAGAAAGCCTGGAGGCCACCCAGAAGTGGTGAGAGGAGAGGGGCCCAGAGTCAGGTTGGAGCTGTGTTGAGGAAAGGCCTCCCCAGGGGCTGCGTCCCAGGCTGGGTTTCCCCTGTGGCTGTCCCTGGAGGGGGAGCCCCCGCCTGGGTGGGTGCTGGGCCTTTTCCCCCACTGGATGGCCCAACCTGCCTGCTGCCTCCCAGGACAAAGCCCCTACTGCGTGCCAGGGCTCCCTCCTCTCACTGACCCCGTATTGCAGAGAAGTGAGCATGATCGCGATGATGATAATAACGAGGACATGGCTAACATTTTTTTTGAGCACCTACTATGTGCCGGGCATTGTTCAAAGTGCTTTGCATGGGTTAAGTCATTCCCATTTAATCCTCACAACACCCCATTGTTCCCGTTTTACACACAAAGAAAGGGAGGTCCCAAGAGCCAAAGAAACTTGCCCACGGTCTCAGAACGAATGAGGTCAGAGCCAGAGGCCAGCCCAGAATGGTCTGACTTGGGGTCTGTGTGCACTCTGCTGCCCAGCGGATGACGACAGAGCCCCATCACACCTCCTCACCACCTCTTCCAGGAAGCCTTCCCTGACCACACAGCCCCACGGATCTCTGTCACGGGGCAGCCCGGTTCTGCGACATTGACATCTGCAGCCAGCTGGAGGACGTTTGTATTTCTTTGCTGGGCTCTGTGGCCCTGGTGGACAGATCCACACCTACCTGGTGATACAGAACATGAGGTCTGGGGGCAGAATGTTTGGATTCAAACCTCAGCTCTGCCACTGATAGCTGCGTGACCTGGGGAAGACTCCCTCCTCCCTAAGCCTCGGGTTCCTCATCTGTTCCAATGATACTAACAACAATAGTGACATTAACAGTGCCGGCCTCGTCTGTCACTATGATTCAATGACGTGAGCATGTGAAGGGTGCAGAGAGGTGCCTCGCAGGGTGAGCGCTTGCTGTTATTCGGCGCCTGGCCCACAGCTGAGCCTGGCTGGAGAGGGGATGGGGTGCTTGCTGCTGGAGGGGGCGGCCCGCACTGCCAGCCGTGGCAGGGAGCCGGGTTGGAAGTGCTTATGAAGGTCCTGCTGGGTGGAGGCACGAGGATGGCAGATGCAGCTGGGGCAGCTCGAGGAAGCTCTGGCCCTCCCAGGGCAGGGCCTGCCTGGGAGATGCCCCCCGTAGGGTACAGAGGGAGTGTGGGGACTGAGGATGTGGCTGGCCCATCCCCACACCTCTCACCCATGGGCTCGTCTGTGGTGAGGCAGTGGCACCGCCCTTGGGATCGAGATGGCAGTGACCAGCCGCGAAGCCCTCACTGCGCCCTTAACCACCACACTCTGGGCTCACAGGACTGGTGTTGCAAACCCCGCTGCATGGAGGCCTGCCTGGCCCGGGGCTCCCTGTGGTGGGGACAGGCAGGCTGGCCCAGCCTCTCAGACAGTCCTGGCTTCTCCTCTTGGCCATCGAGGGCTCCCTCTGTGGGCTCAGTGATGTCAGCTCAAGGCCAGGTTCAGGGCTCAGGCTGAGGTTTGGGGTCACATTCAACCTGGGGCTCAGTGGAATCAGGCTGGACGAAGGTGATTGGTCTCTCGGGGTCACTCCAGCAACACCAGCCCCTCTGCTGTCCCCGAGTCTCTCTTCCCTTCCCCTCTGGGAGGCAGGATGGGGATCTGTGACCTTTGAAGGACCCCCAAGTCACGGGCCGGGGAACTCCCACTTCAGATGCACTTGAAGTATGTCTATGGCTCAGGCCTGAAGAAACTCAAACAAATACATGAGTGTCTTGGGGGTCCCCAAATAAGACACACAGGGTGTGTTTTCCACGTGCCCGTGGATCTGTGTGTGAGTCTGTGTGTCTACAGCTGTGAGCATTTGGCTACTATTCTTTGTGCCTGTGTGTGTATGTGTGTTGGTTTTGAGTTTGTGCTATCGGGGGTCTGAGCGCGTGCTCTGGAATCCGTCTCTGTACCTGGGCTTGTGTGTGTGTTCCCCTGTGAGAGCTTCTGTGCACGTCTGGGTATGTCTTGGTGTGTGCTTGTTGATGTAGCTTATTCGTGTGTGCGCGTATGTGTGTGCTCTCTCCCCCTCCCCCACCCCTGCAGTGGCCACTTCCTCTGCAGGCTTAAGCGTGTTCCCCAACCGGGCTCCATAAGGTCCGGGTCCCCACACCTGCATCTGACAAATGAGGTGCTCCTCCCACCCCACCCCTGCACCACTCTCTAGCTGCTGACTGTGAACACACCCCACCCCTGGGCTTCCTTGTGGGGATCCTCCCCACCTTACCAGCCAGTTGACCCCGCAGAGTGGGGACACAGGGGCCAATGTCTGCTCTGTCCCTCTCCCCTAGCCCTCCTCCAGCAGCCTCCAGGCCCCAGAGGCTGAGGATCTCTAACCACAGCCTCCTCGACTTTTCCCAAAGAAGCAGACATTCTTCCTTAGGATCTTAGCGGCCCTTGAAAGAGTCTCGCTCTTGTTGGGGGTACGTGTGGCCCTGCTGGGTGTCAACTCTCTCTCCGCCTTTTTTCAGAACATCCCCATTGCCTGGCATGCCCTTCCTATCCTTTCTTTGTCTGAAGAATACCCGTTCATTATAGGTCTCACCTCCTCCAGGGAGTCCTCTCTGATTGCACAAGCATCTCTATGCCCCCTTATAGGGGGCTTTCCTTATAGGCAGCTCCTGTCTCCCTGGGGGCGTGGGGTTGCCTGTGGACATGCCCCCCCACACACACTGGACTGTGAATGACTTTGAGGGGTAGAGCCCACTCTTATCCTTCCCAAAATGACCCGTGCTGGCACATCCCTGGTACAGGGCAAGTGTTCAATACACTGTTATTATTTAGGGCCCTGCAAAGGCCAAGTAAACGTGGGCAACACTGTCTGCAGCTGTGGGCACGGAGCTCTCCACAGCTCAGACAGGAGGCCAGAGAGAGTGCATCAAAGTCACACGTGAGACCATGGCAAGAGGTTCCGAATGTAACACACGTGCACGTTTGTATAGATGGACACAAACACTATAGATAAAGATGTAGATGCAGAAATGTCATATTTCTGTCTTTGAATATACTGTTTGTATATCTCCAACTTTTATTTAACACTTACCATATGCTAGGTGCCTAACCACAGATTATCCCATTTATGATATAGAGACTATATTTTACAGATGGGGAAACTGAGGCACAGAGAAGTTAAGTAACTTGCCTAAGGTCACGGAGCCAGTAAGTGGTGAAGTTGGGGTCGGTATCCAGGCAGTCTGGCTCCAGGGCCCGGATTCTCCCATCCAAGTACTAACCAGGCCCAAGATTAGCTTCCGAGATCCGACAAGATCAGGTGTGTTCAGGGTGGTATAGCTGTAGCCCAGAGTCTGTATTCTTCAGTGCAAAGAGATGCTTCCCCTGATATTTCATCCCCGAGACAAATGGCAGATCCTGCACTTAGGACCACAGAAGTTGCTGCCCAAGAATCAGATCAGGGAGGTGAGACTTCATTGCCACGCGTATAGGAAAGACTCAGCTTCCTCTTAAGCATTTGTCCTGTACCCAGTCACTGGGGATGGGAAAGGCAGTGAACAAGACAGGCCTGGTTCCAGCTCGCACACAGCAGGCCAGGCAAGCGTGTAAAGGGCTGCCTCGGGAAGGTGACTGTACTGTTATTTGCTAAGTGTTTACTAAATGCCATGCACTGTGTTAATGCCTTATGTGTGGTGTCTCATTCAAGCCCCATAACACTCTGAATGCAGTAGTTACACCTAAGGCACCCATTTTACAGATGAGAAGGTGGAGGGACTTGCTCAGGGTCACTCAGGGAGATAGGGATGGAGTCAGAACTTAAGCCTTTGCTTTGGTGGCCAGGGGCTTGAGTAGCAGTTGGCAGGGTACTGTGGCTCCTCCCTGGTCAGTTGTGAGGGGCAGGGGGCATCCAGCTCAGCCCTGCCCAGCCAGACCCAGGGAATGTTCCATTCAGCTCTGGACCTTGCACTTTAAAGAGGAACATTATCAGATTGGGGATGGGTTCCCTAAGGAGGGATGTCAGAACCACCTAGCTGGAGGGAGCAGGGGACATCTAATAAGAAGAGAGTTGGCGGCACATCACTAAGTCCCCAGAAATGGAATTAGGTGTAAAGTGCAGGGGGGAGAGCAGAAAGATTCAGGGATTTGGACAGGGATTCAGAGAATCTCTGAATCTCATTCTGAGATTCCTTGGAAGGAAGTGACCTCCCCATCAGCGGAGGTATTCCAGCATCTGAATGATGACTGCAGCATGGAAGGGATTCTGGCAACCTTTGAAGAACCAGGCGACGTGTGAGGTCCTTTGCATCCCCATGAGTGTGAGTCTATAGATTCAATTCTGTCCTGGTTCAGAGGTAGCCAGGACCCCGGCTTATCTTCAAGATCCTTGAGTTTCTCAAAGAGGCAACATCATGTGGAGACACCATGACTTTTGGTGGCAGGGAGACCTGAGTTCAAATCCAGGCTGTGCTGAAATTGTAACTTTGGACAGGCTACTTAAGCTCAGTGCCTCAGCTTCCATATTGCTAAAGTAGGTTCAGTAATGCATACCTCAAAGTGTTGTGGGGAGGATTAAATGGAGTAATGTGCCCAGGATGTAGTAGGTGCTCAATAAGTGCTCATTTCTTTTCCTAAAGACACCAAGAAGCAGGCTGAGGAAGGAGTGGGAAACCTTGATGATTTTACAATATCCTCATATTCAAGCCCATCCTGCTGTTGAAGACACAGAGGCACAAAGAAGCCACACCTTTGACTCGGCCACGTTCGCAAGCCGGAGCGGAGCCAGAATGAGCCCAGGTCTCCCGCCTCCTAGCTCAGGGACCTTTCCACCCAATCCCAGGCCATAGGACAGGCTGGGCAAGTCACCTCCCTCCTTCTGGGTCTCCATAAAATGGCTGACTCGGGGTAACTGGCCTTGGAATGTCCCTTCCTGCTCCTGGGATGGTGGAGCCAGCAACATTCTTTCCACCCCACCCAGCGGCCGGGATATGCTGAGCGCTAACCAGCCGCCTCCAGACCCCGTGACGTGTGCCCAAATGGAGGACAGATGGTCAGAACAGGAGACGCCCAGGGACTGACCCTTGGTGCAGACTCTGTAGCCACCAGCCCAGGGACCCCAGCCCCCCCACCAGCCTGGGGCCCGAGCCCACCTGTACAGCTGCCCCTCGCTGCCCAGCTGGAAACGCTCATACTGGGCGTAGGCCTCGTGGCCTTCCCAGTCCTGCAGCTCCACGCGCAGAGAGTAGGCTGCCCCGCTGGTGAGCTGGTGCACCGCCTCATTGCCCAGCCAGTGCTCCCCGGCTGGGTCGCCGAAGCCCTACAGGGAGGGGAAAGCGGGGGTGGGCTCCACGCCGAGGAGGGAGGCCGCACCCCTGGCTGAGGAGCTGGGCTGGGCCAGGCTCCCAGGCCACTTATCCCAAACCACTGTGCCTAATGATCAAGTTCATAAGTACAGGGCAGGCAGGCCTGGGGGCGGGAGCCCCCCCCCCCCAGAGGAGAAAGACTAAGACGTTTGCAAATGTAAAAACCTGTCGAAAATAATTGAAATCACATTTCTCTGAAGTTCAAGAACAGGCAAAACTAATCTGTGGTGACAGAAGTCAGAATAGTGACTACCTTTGTGGGGGGTATTGACTGGGGGGGACACAAAGGGGGCTTCTGGAGTGCTGGAAGTATTGCGCATCTAGCTCTGGATGGTGGTCCCATGGCTGAATACATATGGAAACATTCACTGAGCCTTACGCTCACACTGAGATTTGTGCACTTAGCTGCATGTATATTAAACCTCAATAAAAATCGAATAAAAGATTTTAACCACCTACATAAATGGTAGAGCAAACTTTGTCCAGTGACAGCAGCCATCACAAAATTTCAGCAACTAGAAATGTAAAGTTAAGAGTGCAGGGAGTGTCTTGTCCCAACGCCCTTGGCCGAACATAATTCAGCACCAAGGACAGGGACACACCTAAGCCCCGCTCCTCATTTTTGTCACGATGTGCCACTGCTTAGCCTGATGGTTAATATTAAACACTCCTTTATGTATTTATGCCTCTGAACACGCTCGTCCTCTCTGCCATTTTAATGATTGTTTAAAACCCGACTGGTTCCAGAACACTCATAATTTGGTATTTATTTTTAAGTATTTGTCAAATGAACAGCCAGCAGACACAAATAATAATACTGCTGTATTACCTTGTGGCTATCTTTTTCTATTTCTTTTGTTTTGAAAACTTTAAGAGCTTTTAAGTCAGCTTGCCAAAACCACTTTATTTAAAATTTAATTTAAAAAGTTGGAAGACAATCAGGCTCTATTTCTCATCTTATAAAGTGCACGTGGTCTTTGAGCCCACGATTCCACATTAAAGAATCTCTCCTGCAGATGTGGAAAGACCAGGATATTCATGTAAGCAATGCAGTCAGGAGTGGCTGGGGGAGTTTTTATTTTTCTGTCTCATCTTTGTACTCTTTAGAGATTTTTCTTTGGAAATGTATATGTATTATCTTTCCAAAACTTTGAACAAAAATAAAGTTAAACTTTCATTCTTAGGACGTATGTCAGAACTTTCAAAAAGAGTGTTCAATTCAGGTGATAGCATCCCAGAAAGTAAATCTGCACCGGGCAAATCTATTTGAGGGTGGTCAGCTTTAAGTGAGCCGATTCTTTTCTGGGAAGGGGTGAGGGCCATCCAGTCCCCTTCCCAAAACCCGGCCCCCGCCCCAGGTTTCAGGGCTGAACGGGCTCTCCCCAGGGCAGCAGTGTTACCTGTCTGTAATCCTTCCAGTTCCGCTGGAAATTCACGCTGCCGTTCTCACGGCGCTGGATTAGGGTCCACCCGCCTCCATTGGCCTCCATGTCACAGAACACCTGGAGGGAATGGGGGGAGCACCTGGAAGCTCTTGGAGGCAGCCAGAAGCCTGGTCTGGGCTGGTCCAAATGTGACTTCGCTGATAGACCCCTCCAGAGCAACAGGTGAGCCCAGTGGTCAAGGGCATCAGAAAGATCCAGTTCAAATTCCCCATCCATTGTCATCGTTTTTCTAAAATGATGGGTAAGTGATGCCCTCTCAGAGCCTTCTTCTCCTCATTTGCAAAATGGGGGTTCATACCTTCACCTCTTTGTGCCTCAGTTTCTCACCTGCAAACTGGGGCTGTTGTGAGAATTAAATGAGACGAGTCTTGTAAAGTGTTTAAAACAGAGCCTGGAATATACTAGGTAACTGGAGGTCCTTCCTTCCTTCGTTCCCTCTTTCTTTTCTTTTCTTCTTTATCTGTAATCTTTTTTTCCCTTTTCTTTCTTTTTTTTTTTTTAGAGACAGTGTCTTGCTCTATTGCCCAGCCTGGAGGGCAGTGGAGCGATCACAGCTTATCGTAGCCTTGAACTCCTGGGCTCAAACAATCCTCCCCACTCAGCCTTTCCCCCTAGCTAGGATCACAGACTCAAGCGACCACACCCAGCATTGTAAGAATTAAATACCAATAGGTATAAAGTTCTTAGTGCATGGTGTAGACTCAGGAAATGCTATTACTAGTGTCATTCAGTGGACAAATGTTTTCTGAGCACCTACACTATGTTCCAGGCTCTGTTCAAGGCACTAGGGATGCTGCTATGGATAAGAATTCTTTCTCTTGAAGAGCTTATATCTATGGCAACTGATCTTTCAGCCTAACCTTTGTTCACATATTTTTCTAGCCAGTTCAGTACATGTTCAATGTTCAATAGACACAAATACGGTGTCTGGCCCTGTAGTAAATGAATCATCAACAAATCAGAGATAAATCAACCCTCAGGGCTGGTTTGGTCTGGGAGAGGGTATGATAGGGCAGGGAGAATATTAGTTATGAACATTTGGGTAGCTGCAAGGAGGGGCCCCAAGAAGGAGTCACTGGGCAAACCTGGAAGCCTTCCTGGAAGAGGCGGCATTGGAAGCAACCATTGAATGACGACGTGCCTGCCAGGTAGAGACAGTAGGAATGGCATTTCCAGTGGAGAAAGCAGCAAGAATAGAGGCTCTGAGATGGAAAAGGCCTGCTAAGGAGGAGAAGACAGTGGCATCTGTAATGGGGGTTGCAAAGGGTACAGGAAAGGAAACTGAGGCCCAGAGAAGGGAAGAACTTGCTTACGGCAAATGAGTCAAAAGCAAAGCTGAGGTGTGAGCCCGGATCTCTTGCCTTCCAGACCAGCTCTTCCCTCTCTATCCATGCTCCCAAATTTCAGCCATTTACACCTTCCGGAATTCCATCACAGCTGAATTTACTTAGGTTCATCTTGCATATTAACTTTGAAAAATTGTGTCCTTTATTTTTGACATAAATACTTAGATTAAATGTATTTTAAAAGGAAATCTAATCAGGACCATAAATGGAAAACTAGTAACATTTGCCTTTGTTCAGGCAATTGTAAAAACAAATATAATGAAAACAAAATATTATAAAATCCTAGCTGGACATTGTTGCTGGCACAAAGCCCTAGGCTCTTTGCTAACGAGCTCTTTTTGTTAAAAGGAGAGTTTAGCAGGTGGGTGTGAGAAGTTCAAGACAACTGGAGGCAATCTGAGCCGTTCACCTTGATATATTCATCAGGATTGAAAGGAAAGCGAAAAAGGAATTATGCAATGGGACCCTGGCATAGTTGTTACCCACACTTTTCCCCTTCCGGGCCTGGCCCCAAACCCTCACTCCTGACATCCACGCTTCCCTCTGACCCCTCCCCATCTTCTGACTGGATCGTAAAGCTCAGGTGACCTTGGAAGCTACTCATTGAAGACAGGGGCACCTCCATCAGCCCAGGTTTCTAATTTCCCACATGGAGCAAAGCCCCAACTCCTGCCTTCAACTGGACTATATGTAAACTAGAAAGATGCTTCTTTGTGCTAAGCTCCTGGAATTTCAGGGTTCATTTGTAATAACAGCTAGCATCACCTTAAGCAACACAGAACTATCTCTTGCTATTCCAATTAAAAACATCTCTGGGGAAGATGCTGGCGAAAGATGCACTTCCAACTTTGGGAACTTCTGCTTAACCCTACGATCTGACCCCTGACGGGGTGGCAGTTTTAGGAGGCAGGGCCACCCCCACCTCTCTAGTATCAGAGATGTTGGACAAAGCCTGATGCTGATGGGGCGTCTGTCTGGGAAGCCCTTGGTTCAGCACCCTTTGACAGTCTTGGTCCCCAGGGAGCCTCCTGACCTTCCTGGGCTCCGTCATGTTGCCCACATGGATGGTGTAGACGCCACTGGCATTGGCCCCGAAGCGCTGGATCTCTGCACAGTCCTGGAACACCTGCTCAGCTGCCCTGATGGAGGCTGCAGTGGGACAAAACAGAAGTCAGCTGCAGGTGAGCAAGGAGAGAGGGAAGGGACCAGTGAGCATGCCTGCCTGCTCTGTGGCGGGTTCTGGGCTGGGAAGTGCTGGGGACAGGGAGATGGATCGGACCTGGGAAGTCTCCTAGAGGAGGTGACAGTGAGCTGGGACCTGGGTGATGAGCAGGAGTTGCCCAGGTGGGCAAGTGGAGGATGTTCTAGGCAGAGGGGAACAGCATAGGCAAAGGATCCCAGGGGGAAACTGTCCTCGTGTGTGCAGGGGAGGGTGTCAGAAGGGAAATTGAGGCTGTGGCCAGGGAGAGGAAATGACTTACACCATGAGACTAGGGCTGAGGTCAGACAGACCTATGGCTGTTTGGTGAAATGGAGAGAGTAGGACAAGGCTGGCACAGAGAAGGTGAGGAAAGAGGAGGAGAGAAAATTGGCTGAGATTTTGGCAGGGCCAGGTCAGCCTTGAGTGCCAGGCTGAGGAGCCCAGACTCTGTGCGCTGAGGAAGAGCACTCTGGCCGGAGTGTGCAGTGGGGCCTGGAGGGGATGAGACCAGAAAGGAGGCTGCTGGGGTCCTCTAGGGGAAGATAATTAGGGCCTGAACCCCAGTGACGTACTTCCCATTTCACAGACCAAGAAACTGAGGCCCAAGAGTGAGGTAATTGGCCCAAGTGCAGCAGACCCTTCCCTCCTTGGAGCTCCCTTGGGTAGGAGGCCTTGGGCTCCCCTCCACAGCCCACCCTTTCGGCTGGATCTTTCTGCTGCCCTGGGCATGGGTTCCCTCATTCTACCCTCCCCGGGAGCCAACAACTGGCTTTAGAGGGCCGGCCCATGTTTCTTCCCTTGGGACTGCGTGAGATCAGGAGTATTAATTTAAAGACCAAAACCTACCAAAGTCCTCGAGGCCTTCAGGCCTGGCCTAGAAAAAGTGACTGTTGACAAATAAACTGCAGGGATTTAAAAGCCCCTCTGTCTGACTTAGTGGAATCCAATTAGACGTTTGGGCTGTGATTCCACCAGAATCCAGACTCTCTGGGCAGGTACCCAAGGAGGGGGCTGAAGTTCCAGATGGATAGGTATCAACACCAATAAGGAACCAGGAGGCTACCAGGGGCGGGACATCCTGTTTTGGTTTTACGCCTGAAGTATGGATCCCAGATCCTGGATCTGGGGTACTTATCTGAAGGAGGCTGTTCTCATATCACAAACGAGGTGACTAAGGCCCCCAAATCCATCCCAGCCTATGCATAAACACTTCCCAGGCAAGAGTCTCCGCTGTCCCACCCGTCTGCACCCCCTAGCTGCCCATGGGGAGCTGGAGTGCAGCCGAGCATGGGGAGGCGGTGCTGGGCTACAGGTGAGCAGGGACGGGCCAAACTTCCTCCAGCGAGCCAAGGGCTGGGGTTGGCCTGAGAGTTCCAGCCACCCTTTCCAAGGCTCGGTCCCCTATCGTTTTCCTTAGTCAACAATAATACAATAGCAACAATAATAACAGTAACAACAAAAGTGAAATACCCACCATGTATTGTAGTGTTTACATGTGGGTGCTACATACTTCCAAAGGAAGTGTGGGGCCAGGAAAAACATTTGGGGGGTGTGTGTAAGAACAGGATAGACTGGTATTAATATCTAACAGAGTTTGACCCCAACCCAGGCCCCTCTGAATCTCTGGGCTGGTAATTTGTACCAGTGTCACCCCTTTTTGGTCCTAGGCACAGTGCTGAGCCCCTTCACATACATGAACTCCTCTGACCCTCCGGGCAAGAACTCGGTCAGATCGATACTCCCATTTTACAGGTGAGAAGGATTGAGGTTCTGAGAAGTTAAATGACTTGTGCACAATCCCAGTGCTAGTAAGTGAAGAAGCCAGTGCTTGAAGTCTGGTCCATCTGACTGCAAAGCCAGTGCCCTTCCTATGACACACATCCCCCGGGTCTCCAGCTCTGAGCATATATAAGGCTGGCAGACAGGCTGCGTTAACGAATGCTGCTTCTATACTGAGCACACGTCGGGTTTTTCTAACCTCTGGACTGAACTCCTTGGTACCTGGAAATAGCAGGAGACTTGACTGTCTTCTCCCTTCACCAGCCTCCACCTGCCCAGGACAAAGCCATGCAGAGCAGGGGCGCTCCCTTCCTGCTAGGCTTCAGGGACACCTGGTTCCTGTGCCGAGTCCCATCCAACCCTTTGCTCTATACTCTCCTTCGGTTTCTCCATCTGGACAGGGGGCAAAAGCAACTCCCTAGTGTCCTTCCCGGGTGACAGTGGGGAGGAGGACAGGGTGTTTGGGCAAAGGGTGCCCGAGGTGAGGTGCCCAATACAACCTCCCACCCAGACTGGCGAGCAGACATTCGGCCACAGCTGGAGACTGGATTCATGGTGGGCTGGTGGGGAGAGGCGTTGGGCCCAGGTCCTGTGCCTTGGGCCGAGCTATAAGAAACCCACACATGGGATTAATTCAGGCAGCTCACTGCCAGGGCTATGCATGAGCCGGAAATGGGTTTGGGTCACCCCACATCTCATGGTTTGGAAGGCATCTGCTTCTCCTGCCTGTAGCTTCCTTGGGTCTCAAACTCTTACCCAGCAGGCTCTGCTGGACTTAGATGAAGCCAGGGTGAAATCCTCTGCCCCAAATCCATGTCAGCCATGGTGGTGCCTGGAATTCCGTCACTGTTGCTTGAATCCTTGTGCCTTAAAGGCTTCCAGCCTCCCCTATGGCGGTCCAGCAGCAGTCAGAGCCCCTTCCTCGGGCTTTCTCTCTAACCAAGCCATTCCCCACCTGTGGTTCCAATCAGAGCTTCCTAAACGTAGCCCCATCCTGTTCAAAAGCCTCCTGTGCCCCCCACTGGCCTCAGGTTAAGGTCCCTTCTGCTTAGCACAGCCTTTGGGCCTTTCATGGCCTGGAAACTTCAGGAACACTGATAGCAGAATATCTGGCACATAGTAGGCACTTGAAAAACACACGTTTCCTTCTCCTTCCCTCTGGGACCCACAGACGAGGGGGCTGGGCATTTTTGCAAGAGGCAGGGACCACGACTGTCTTGTTCACTGCTGTATCCCCAGCACCCAGCATTGGGCCTGCTGCACAGTGGATGCTCAGTAAATGTCTGTTCACTGAGTGAGTGAAGCTGCAACCAGGAATGCCTTGGCCACTCAGGTGGGCCCCATTAAAAGCCCAGTGAGGGCTGGGGAGTCCGCCCAGGCATTGTTCTCCCTTCCCAGAAGCCAGGGCCAGGGATGCTGCCTCACTTCTGTTTGGCCCTCTTGGGCTTAGGGGTAGGGACATTACAGTGAGAGAAGTCCTTTGGGTGCATTGAGTCCAACCCTCTCCCTTCCATAAATAGGTAAACTGAGGCTCAGGGAGGGATAGGGCAAGCCCAAGCAAGTGGGGATGGAGCTAAATCCTGGGCGGCTGTTCTTGTTATTATCACCTCCACTAAACAGATGGGGAAACTGAGGCCAAGAGAGGGATGGGGCATGCCCAAGGTCACCCACGGAGCCAAGGGACAGAGTGTGGATTGGCTCCTCTTGGGACTGTTGTTGTAGCCATTATTATTGCTGTCTGTTGTTCCTTTCCCGAGATGGGTCCCAGGCCCGGAGAGAACCGTGAGGGTGAGCAGGGATCTCCTCCCCTCTCCCGCCCTTCACCCGCCGCACTGGGGCGCACGCGGCTCGCTCACCGGGGCCCTGCGCCACGACGCGCACCAGACGCTGCACCGACTCCAGCAGCCGGCGCTGCTGGCGCTGCAGGAGGCTGGAGTTGCTGCTGGCGGCGCGCAGGCTGCGCTCGAGGCCGGCGAGGGCGCCGCTCTGGCGGCCCAGCAGGCGCCGCAGCCGCTCCTTCTCGCCGCGGAGGCTGGCCAGCTCCGCCTGCTGCTGCGTCTCCAGGGCCTGCACCCGGGTCTCCAGCGCGCTGCGGGGCGGGGAGCGCACGGGGGTGAGGCTTCGTCCCCGCCAGACAGTCACCCCGCGCGCTTCCCCGGGGCTCCAGGGCCCCTACAGACCGGCGCTGAGGCTCAGAGAGGTGGAGCGGCCTGCCCAGGGTTACACAGCCCGACAGTCTGTGCCCACTGCAGGCACAGACTGAGGTGGAATATGGATTGGGGTGGCAGGGGCGGGCAGGGCGACAACCAGGTAGCCATGATCAAATCGGTCATGTACGGTCACTCTTTGACCCAGCAGTCAGCTCCCAGGAGGTATCCTCCAGGGAGCAGGGGCAAGAATGCCCTCGAGGGAGTGTTTGTAATAGGGAATAGCAAACGGCCTAGATCCCCGACAGCCAGGACTGGGTGAATCTGTTGTGTTTGGGCATCCCGGGAAATGTTCTGCAGCGATGAAGGAGGCAGAGGGCATTTGCACAGATTGGAAAGATGCCCAGGACTTGGG